TCAAGGCTCGTGATTCAATAGGGGAAGCGATCGCTTCTGCGTCCTCTGGATTCAAGAGGATGGTGATCCCTTCGCATCCCCTCGGCCTGCTGAATTACTTACGTGTGGTACGATGTTAACTGGGGATGACTTATCTGCATGTCAATGGGCTGGCCATCTTTAAGTGCTCGCCATCAGCCAGTGGATCGTGAAGTGCAGGTAAGTCGTCAGTCAGCCCGCTTAGGCGTCTTGATTGCTGGGATAGCGATTATCGGCATCATCTTATTTCGATGTTAATATTTTGCTATATTGTAAGAGAAAAACATATTGATGCCTTCATTTATGTTTCAGCGCCACCAAGTTGTGGTAACCTAGTACAGAATACTAGAAATATGTCACAAATGTAACAATACACAGAGTATGTATATCCGACACACGTAACACATAGGTGAACACTGAACACATAATATATCCGATTCGATTCCGATGTACTTGTATACTTTATTGTAACAACAGACTATCTAGCTGCTGTTCTAGTGGGGTGGCGATCAGCCTTCACCACGATTAAGCGGGTGTTAGGATGAATGGTGGCACGGCCGGCAACGATGCTGGCCGAGGACGCACTTACTGATGTAACACAATTACACAGGTGGCTCCGATTAGGATGACACTGGTTCATCCCAGGCGGTCAAACGCAACAACGTAACTCCAGGCATGTTAGATGACAAGTGCAAGGCAAGAAACAGAGCAAGGTTTGGGCAAAAGGTTAGGAGAAGATTTACTCGTAGTCAGACTTTGTGTATAGTATTCAAAATTGTTTCCGGCTTCAGACGAATTTGTTAACACACACAATTTAATGATTTCGCTTTTCACTTGAGGTTCTCACTTTTGGCGGCAACTACAGGGCCGAATGATTACATTATAAACTTCGCTGATTGCAGGCGCCACCGCGGTTCTAACCTGTTTTCTTATACAGAGTACTCGTAGTCGTGATTTATTAGAATGGATGTTATGAATTACAGAAAAAGCCTGTAACCGCCCAAACCATGAGGACGAATAAATATTCCGTTGTTCTGAATAGTTAACCCCCAAAATTTTGCCCGGCCTAGTTTTCTTCAACTTTAGCCAAAACCGTGCACGCCTACCACCCTCACGCACTGATGCCATTGCCCACAGTTCCACACTGCGCAATCAACGTGATAGCTTTTCGGCAATAGTGTGTTTCAAGTCTTCTTAAGGGTGAATAGAAATAAAAACGCAGCTCAAATTATTTTATAAGCTGGTTTAGAAGTGGTAACGTCCTGGCAGCGCTGCTCGCAGTCTCGACCAAAAGGTCATGCATCAATATAAAAAATGGCTCAAATTTCTGGAGAGGGGGAATTTTTACTGGTCACTCTTAATTGTACAGTCAGAAAGCTGCTCTTAACAGTCAAATTTTACTAACAGAAAATTTCGTACGAAATTTCAGTACTCGAAAAATCGCTCGCAAAATGCACGGCAAAAACAGCAGATTCCCAAAAGCAAAAATGAATTATCGTTCACAAACGATTTGAAGAGATCACCTTGAGAAAGGCAAATTGAAAAAAAAACAGACGGGCGGCGAAACGTAGAAACAATAGTATCTACAGAACGGTTTATTTGATCCATCCACGTGAAGTCGGAAAGGTCAAATCCGGGGAATCCCTGAAAGGAAAAAATTTAACATTGTTCCAGGACCAGCGCGCGCGCACCGCAGCGCCGGATGTACCGCTGACTTTTTGTATCTCCAATGTAAAATGAAGAAGTGAACAGCAGCTGTCGTGCAGTACAAATTAAACGCTGACGTTTATTAATCCCGGATGTTGGCTGCAATGCAACACCAACCTAGCCGTTTTTGTGGGGGTACCGCGCTGGTTGTAATTGTTTCTTTTTCGTAATCCAGAAATTTAGATTACGTCCGTGACAATGGTCGTTCGATTGTAATTTGTAAACACACCGAAAGAAACAACATGATCCCCATTAATTCGAAAGAACGTTGGTGTATATTTTGATGTTTCTTCGTACTCAGCGTCGATAACCAAAATCATCTTCCGTTGCCGCGTTGTCCAGTGCGTCGGCTAATAAATCCGCTACAACGGCATCCACCGTCCAGTTCGCGTATGCTTTCGCTGAATTGCGGGCTTTCGCTTGTATCCAGCTCCACATCCAGTAAATTATCCGGCTAATAAAAAATGTATGTAATAGCTACGTTATGGTGCAGAACTGAGAATAAAGTGATATTTTATTTTTCACATACTTTTCAATAACACTGAAGTACTGAAATTTCAAATGCCGCATCATGAGAACATGTCACCCGTAATCTACGCCATTATGCTACGCTTTGCCACTGTGAAACCAGGCGACGCGCTTATTGCAGTTGTTGACATAATTACTTACAAGTTACGACTTACCTCTTCGAATTACCTAACGAGGTGTTAATTTCTGTCACAACTTTTATGGATAATACCAAGGGCAAATATTAACACTAGAATTACTTGACACTCTCCTTTTCGGTAGTCCAACTCCTTTTCCTATTTTCCCAGCAATTGCCATCTAGTATTTTTTGACTAATTTCACCCTTACTTTTTTCATTCAGCTTACAGTAATTGTTTTGGTAATCTTTGCTGTTATTAATTTTAATTGATACATGTGTTATTAGCTTTTTCGCATTTTGTTGCTCGTATAGTCGTATTTACCGATAAGAGTTCATAAATCTCTCGCACTTCCTCTTGCCGGTATGTAGGAATATCAACGAAGAACGGTGGTCGCGTGATGTCAAAAACTTCGCTACAGTAACCCGGAATCATAAAAAAGGTTCAAGTAAATTCGCAAAATTTCCCAAATTTCTTCAAGCTTGAAAGTTGGAAGTACCGGACCATCCACGCGTTATTCTACTACGCCACAACACTGTGGACAGTGGACACACCGCCGGCACAATTTTATGTCGCATACTTTATTTTTACCGTGACTGGCTTGTACTAACCATAACAGCGCCAGTTATCAAGGACAAATACAAGCCTTATAACATTCGTTAACGCTGTCTACCTTCTGCTCGTCCACGCGTTTTATGTAGGCTCCCAGATTGCAGGGACATACCAGAACACTGCTGCCCGTGCCGGTGCAGCATCCGCTGCGCAGGGCCCAGACTCCAACTCTGACTCTGACTCTGATCATGACTACTCAAAGTCTGACTCTGACTGATCTGAACGTTTCTTAATAGGTTTCTTAGGTTTCTTAGGTTTCTTAGGTTATTCTTAGGTTATTCTTAGTTTTTCTTAGGTTTCTTAGGGTTTTTAAGTTATTCTTAGGTTATTCAGTCAGAGTCAGAGTCAGAGTTTGCACAGTCAGAGTAAGACTTTGAGTAGTCAGAGTCAGAGCTTGAGCGCGGGCCGCTGCGCAGTGCCTTAATCAATGGCCTCTTGAGATCCTGCCGTGCTTTCGAATATGCCCGCTTACGGCGGTCGGTGGTTTTGTGAACGGGCTTGTATAACGCACATCAGTTTAATACGTTTATTGTAGAATAAAGGCTGTCAGGAGATGCCACATGCAGAATGTGTAGCTCTTCCATAATTCTTAGTGACCGTGAGCCGTGTTTTCTTGAAAATCTTGGATTTTGTTTTACGTTAAAGTTTTTTTATTTTTTTTTGGGGAGACTTTTCTTGGGGAAGCTGTATTGCAGCAAAAAAGCAGTATTAATTAATCGAAAAATCGTATCACTCAGACAGAGTTAATGAGCGGTACGAAAAGTTTGTTTTGGGTGGTTAGTGGCTACACGTAAACGTTTGAGAAACGCGCGCGCGGCGACGCATCGAAATTTGGAAAGTCATTTGCCGCCTTTCCGGAAAACAGTATGTATCGCTGCAGTTTTTCCGCCCTCCTTATCAACCTTTCTCACTATTGGCCAACGTCAACCCAATAGTCGGCAATATGAGAAATCTGCTGCAGTATTTCCGGCTGGCTGAACTCCAGTAAACAAAAAGTTGGTTTCACCACAGGCACGAGAGATTTATTCAAACTGCCTACTTCTGACGTACCTATGCAGATGCCGTCATAAATTACACGAAAGAGCCGAAGCTGGTGCGGTTCCCGTGACGGGCATTACAGTAATGCAAGTACTAATTGGGAGCTTTTTTGACAACGTACAGAGTTCGTATACGCTGTTACGTGCTGCGGTTGTACTATATATCGTCAAATTGTCGGAGCTACTTTGTAGTTTGTACACATTGCACATACAGAGTACTATGATAAGGGCAAGGGGACAGGTGTCACTTCGTTGCTTGCGTTTTCGTTGATTCAATTCCAAACACTCAGAACGGACACGGGAATTGCACCTGCACCGATGTCAACAAGAACAGATATCTGTTGTTGTTGATTTCGGTGTCGCAGGTGCAATTCCCGCGTGTAGCGACGTTCCCGTCGTTGCCGCCGCTTCTGAGTTTATCTACGTAGATAAACCCAGAAGCGGCGGCAACCATGGGAACGACATTATGGAGACTGTCACTGGTTGTGCTTTACTGGCTTCTGCATTTGCACTTTGAACAATCAAGACTCTTGGCTCAACAGGGCACGCAAAGGGGTCATCATCGTCTGGAGTCAAGATGATTATGACTCCGTTGGGTCCCCTGTCGAATTACCTGTGGTACGATGTTTGGATGACTTGTCTTCATCTCAATGGGCTGGACGACTTTATGTGCTCGCAGCCAGCTGATGGAAATGCTGGTATGTCAGTCACTTTGCGCCGCCTAGGCATTGTGGTGGCTTGGATAGCGATTATCGGCGCCATCGTTGTTTCGAACTTTCGATGTTGATATTTCGTTTCTTATTAAAAGACAAACATTGATCAGTGATTGATGTGGGTCAAGGGTTTCTTTTATCTGTCGCGCAGACCAATCAGATATTTTCAAAATTCCCGCTTTAATTTGTGTTCTTTCAAATTAGACTGCGTGAACTGCTGACTAATAATGAGTGTAAATTCAGCAATTCAATTTTTTTGTACCCTTTCGACACAATTTAATTTCTTTAAGGTCCAAAAATTGCACACCGCTTTCCAGAACTGCAATTTTCATGGATATTCACCAGAATTGCTTTTCTTATTTGCACGTTTTTCAAAACCACGGAATTTTGTTAATCGTAAAATCGGTACGAAATTTCAGTACTCGAGATCGCTCACAAAATGCACGGCAAAACAGCAATATTCCAAAAGCAAAACTTAAATATTGTTCACAAAGGATTTGAAGAGATCACCTTGAGAAAGGCAAATTAAAAAAAAGTCGGGCGGCAAACGTAGAAACCATCATATATACACTGCGATTTATTTGATCCATCCACGCGAAGTCGGAAAGGTCAAATCCGGCGAATCCCTGAAAGAAAAACAATTCCACGTTTGTTCATGAAAAACACGCACTGGAACTTATCGCCAGCACACATTTCACAAGTATGTACCAACAAAAATCCCGTGCAGTACAGATTAATGCTGATATTGAAAAATCGGATGTCACTGAAACGTAACACCAACCTGGCTGTTTTTGTGGGAGTGCCACGCCGATTGTAATTGTTTTCTTTTTCATAATCCAGAAATTTTGATGACGTCCGAGATACCGGCCGCTCGATAGTAAACACGCTGAAACAAGATGCCAATTTATAAGAAAAAGTCGTAGTTTTGAAGTCTTTTCCGTACTCGGCGTCGATAACCAAGTCATCTTCCATTGCCGCATTGTCCAATGCGTCCGCTAATAAATCCGCTACAACGGCATCTTCACCGTCCAGTTCGCGCATGCCTTCGCTAAACTGGAGACTTTCGCTCGTATCCAGCTCCACATCCAGCAAATTATCCGGCTAACAACAAAAATGAATGAGCTACATCGCTACATTACAGGAAACAACAACATCGATGAAAAAAATCTTCCTAATCATTTTCGACAATACCGCAAGTTTAAACAGCGTTCAAAAGCAGCAGATCCGCCAGATCGGAGACTTTTCGACTTTTCGAGCTGCGCCATTATACTATGCTACATCCGTGTCAAACTCGATGTTTCCATTGCAGTTTAATAAGTCAACATTACTCGTATAACGTGCAGTAGTCCTTCGTAGTGACTAATTTAGTTTTATCAACACAACAACGTACTGCATTTCTTCAACTTTATTTTTATCATCACTTTTACGTTATTACCAAGGGCACATACTAACGCTATAATTAATTGACGCTCCCCTCTCTGATCATCCAGCTCGCTTGTCTATTTTCCCAACAACCCCAAGTCCTATGTTTGATTGATTTTTATTTTATTTTTCATTCTGCTACATTTTGGTTATTTACTGGCATTTAATCTTCACTATTACTTATGTAATTTGATTTTTTCACATTTGTTTACTCGTATTTACCAATAATAATCCATAAATCTCTCGCACTTCCTCTTGCCGGTATGCAGGAATGTCGACGAATAACGGTGGTCGCGTGATATCCGAAACTTCACTACGAGTACAATAAACAGGGATCATAACAAAATACGGAAGTATATATATGTATGTAAAATTTTAGCAATTTACATACATATACGCAAATCATACATACGTATATACGATTTTTATATATATACTTATATATATGGGATCGTAACAAAATACGGAAGTCTATATATGTATGTAAAATTTCATCAATTTTATTTGACTTTTCGCAGCGTTGCCGTTCTTCCTAATTTACTTTATTATTACTTTCTTCCCTTCATTATTACCTAGGTAATTCCCAGTCTTGACGCTTTTCATTATAGATAGCCTTTTCCAGAAGCGGCTCCCAGCTGCTTGGTCCAATGAAATGCGTAACCATCGTCCACCTATTTAACGATTTGAGTGTATCCCCTTTTTTTTTTACACAATTTGCAAGATATCTTGACCTGCCCGATTAGAAAACATTTAAAATCAGTCTCACATCAGTGCCTCTTTCTGGCGCAGAACTTCCAGCTGATCGCCGGTATCCTCGTTGAAATGCTGAGCAATATCCTCCTCGGCTTGCAGATCCGTTTGTAAAACAGCCACATGCTGTTGCAGCTGTCGGGGGAAAAATAAAATTCATAACATTACTGTTCTAAAAAAATAGATATACAGATAGACAAGTGTCGTACAATGTGCAATTTTTATCACATATAATTGTAGGTGCAGGATCCTGTTTATCCGGATAAATATTCCTACAAAATTGATAATAATAACGTACTTTATTGATTCGCAGTTGGATGCTGTCGATATCAGACTGGACAATATTGACAGTTGCATTCGCTTCCCGTGCGTCTTCCTGCTCTCGCTGCAATGCCTCCAAAATGGCCTCCTCCCGTTTCTAAACATTTTCAAAACCGTTGCACACCGCTGAAAGGAATCATTAAAAAATCGGTACATTATGCTCTGCAAATGGTTATAGTATTAGTGCATTAGTTCATACTTGTACTGCAATTAAACAAACATCGATCTGTGTCTCCCCGAACAATTGTCTGCGCCATTCTACTACGCCAACACACACCTAAGTTGATACACGACGTCGATGCTGTTTTGCACTGTGATGGAATTTGCACAGTTAGCTTTATTATTTGAATCATCATGTTTTTGAAAGTACGGAGACAAATACAAGCATTAAAATAAATAAAAATATAAGATAAAATTCTTCGAACTCTACCTTCTGCTCGTCCAGTTCGGCACGCGTTTTATGTAGGCTTTCAGATTGCAGGGACATTCGCTCGTGGACATTCCCCTGTGCCGCGCAGCATCCGCTGCTCAATGGCATCGATTTTGCTCTTGAGATCCTGCCGTTCTGCTTCGCGTTTCCGCAGGCTCTCCTCTTTCACATTCATTTCGCTGGTTAATTTTTTTCTTCTCCTAAAACAACGAATCACGTGTATTGTCGCATATTTCCGATTACGTACAATTACAGAAATATCTAATACATGTTAAATGGAAACACACTGAACCGAAAAAGGGCATTCTGGCAATGCCGGTGTATGCGGATTTTTACATTATTACCTCATCGTTTAAGCCGGCATTCTGCAGCATACTGGCGCGTTCTTGAGCGATTTTCGCTTGTTCTTGTGCGTATAGTTCGCTGTCTAAGTCTTCGTCTTCCATATTTTCTGTAATTATTATTTTTAATTTTTAACGATTCAGCCTTTTTTGCCAGACTGGGTGTGGAAATCACGATGAAAGTCGAATAGTTTGGCGGAAATTCTACCTTTTAGCTTTGTGGGTTGCGGTCCCATTGGGGAGCGTGAAGCCAGTTTCGCTTTTAGTCTGTAAGTTAAAACAACGCTTTGGTGGCATGTCTTCATAGGTTCGATACCGCAGATGCGTTACAATCCGACAATCCATCACAAAAAAATACATACGCTGCTAATTCATCCAGGTATTCGCGCATTTTCGCATCCTTCGGATCCTCATTGATATGCGGAGCATTCTTGATATTTTTCGCACGATGTGCATATCTACGCAGAGTGTTTTTGTTTTTTTAAAATTTTTCTATTTTTAGCGCAAAATCTGCATCTGCATCATTGTTTCAAGGATATGTTTACCGCAACGTGGAGATGGTTTCGTCTAGATTATACGCGGCCGGCCCAATATTAGCCACCATGATCGTTTTGGAATTGCCGCCCAGTGAGTCTGCAGAATAAATAAATAATTTCTGCAACCGCTACATCACTTTCAACGTAACAGGAAGATATATTATTGTTACGGCGCTACAAGTTAAATATAGGATTTTTTTTACCCAAGTTTTGTACTGGCATAAAGCACCTCAATGGCACTATGTACTTGTGCATGATATGTATTGTGTACGAGTAATCGTAGCATAATGGCTACTGTTGCTGCGATGTTCTGCTATCTGGTAAAATGCTTGACTTTAGCATATAGTTGAAAATTTTCTAAATTTTTTTGGAGATAGCTTGGGGAAGTTAGAATAGAAACTGAGAATTTTAATCAAATGAACACAGAAATCGTACCACAGAATCAAAATATAACCACAGTTAATCAGCGGTCCGAAAGTTAACGATATTTCGTCTCAAAGAAAGCGCAATCAGTGCTATCGCATCAGTGCTACATAATTCGTACAGCATTACCTTGCAACAACCGGGTTAATTTTGAATCGCGATACGGCACATGCGATGACTTGTCCACCAGGGCGGTGATGACCTTTCCCAGTGTGGACAGGGATAAATTGATTTGCGTGGCCTCCTTGAAGCGATCGCCCTGCAATAAACAACCGGCGTCTCATGAATGCGTAACCAATTTCCGGTGCAAAGAAATACAATATTGACAATCAAAACCAGATGCACGTAAGTAATATACCGTAGAATTCGTCTTGGACTGTTTCTCACTCCCGGCCAAATCCACTAAATTCAATTTGCCCACCCGAATGTGCTCCTTCCCGTCCACGCCCACCACGCCGCATTCAATGTTGACGATGAAGATGGCATGCGACCGTGAACTCTGCTCATTCATGTCCGTAGATCTATGCAATCATAAAAATTTAATTTTGTTTGAATTTAAAAGATTTTAAATTTAAAAATTTAATTTGTTTTATTGAATTAAAAGACTTTATTTGTTTTTTTATAATTTAATATTTAAAAAAACAAGTTTTCAAGTCCCTAAAAAAGGTTTTAACAAAAAAGTTATTAATGTTTTAACAAAACAGTTTGTTTTCGTTAGTTATTTTGAATGGACCTGATGGAAATCTGGTCTTATTATGGGAGGCATCAAAAAGTGAGGTTCTGTATTCAGCAAGCAAGCCATAAAGATGTCATTTCGACCGAGCAAACATCAATATTTACCCAACAGCTCGATTGGCTTGCCCGCGCTCCATCATCTTCTCCATATGCCGGAGACTTTTCAGTTGGTAAGTTGACAAATTCTGCCACCCAAAAGCAACAGTCGGTCAGGACTTGCAGAGCTTTTTTTTCACAAGTGAAATGTTCTTTAGCAAAAAAGTAAAAAAGCGTTCCGAAATGGTTACCTTAATATAAATATCGCCACTGGGCTTCTCCTTGATTTCGATTCTACGATCCCCACTGTCCTTATCTTTCGTGGCCAGCAGATCTCGTATATCTTCCTGGAATAAGTAAGCCGCGGTGTTTTAAAATTATTGTGATTGTAAATCATCCGAGCAATGCACAACATGCAACTGAAAGAAAAATGCTTAATGCGCATATTACCAGATGACATATATATACATAGGTGTACAGACAGAAAACTGTCGTAGAAGAGAGGTTCGTTGTACGGTCAGAGGATCCGAAATGTTGGTTGCGGTTCTTACAATCATATGTACAGTAGGATATACTCAAATCACAATTTCTTCGTTCATTTTTTAAAATTATTTGCCACAACCAGTAGAAGTACAAGAAGAAGAAGAGCAGAATGTTGTATATATTAAAAATAAAGCTTTTCAAACCCATTTCCGTAGCTGAATCAACATCAAACGAAAACTTCATATACGAAAGGACAGCCGGCCTTTGAAATACCGTACACTACGGTTGCTCACTCATTACAGAGAAAAATATTCGGAAGTCGGCTAAAAAATTACACCCACGCAATACTAGACTCATACATAAGTACATGCTGTACATCCTACATTAGTACAGGTGTTACAGATACTGTAACAGCAAGCCCTGATAAATATTATATATTTTTATTTATTATAGATAAATATATACCCGACAGAAAACATTTTGCAAGGATTACAATGACCGATAACTCCTGATTACCTGATAAATCTCCAAATACGACGCGGTAACCAGATAATGTTCATTGGTGGAGCGATCGATATACTGGAAAATGCCCTCCATGGCGCGAGGAATTATTCCCGGCTGCTGTTTACTGCCTGTCGGTCAAAACAACAAAATACACCCACATTTCACGACTGCCACTTTCATTAATTTTTTTAATATTCAAAAAATTCTATTTATAAATTTTTTGTTAATCAGCGCACCTTGCATGGTGAAGGTCTTGCCGGTTCCGGTTTGGCCGTAAGCGAAGATAGTCCCGTTGAAGCCTTGAAGAACAGCATCCACCAGCGGCAGCACAGATTCCCGGTAAATGTCCTCCTGTGACGATCTATAGGAACACGCAATTGCAGATGTATTTTAACCGTCACGGACATTCGACACTCCGAGACAAGAATTAGACAAATTAGTGAGTGCTTGTGCGAGGATGTTGCCGTGTTGGTCACGTACGTCTGACTGTAAGTGGCGTCAAAGGTGAAGTCTTTCTCGCCGGCTGTGTCTTTCTCGGGACGGAGACGGATGGTGCGGGATTTCGAATCCACATCCACGACTCTGTTCCCGATGGAGAAGACAAAAATTAATCGATCGAATAATATGAAAAACAATTGGTGCACGGGAAACTGACATCACGGAATATGTTTTGCTTTTGATTAATCAAATTTCCATGTTACCGGAAAAGGTGTGCGTCTTATATTCACTAAACAAACGTAGTGTATGGGCATGCATTATCGGTGCCCCTGAACTTCGACAACAACATATCTTATCATACCTTTCGCAATTGCTAAAATCATAATGTACATAATCGTGGCGTTAATTTTTTTTGCTTTCGCCAATTCCTTATTGAGTAGTCACTACTCACTGGTCAATGTACTGTAGTCATCATAATCTGATCACAATTAGCGCTGAATAGTGAATACCTATTTAAACTTGTCGGCAGTTAATTTGTACAGAAATCAGCTTTTATTAAACATAACGACGTACCGCGCAAGCTAGGCGCAGTTTCGTAAATACTGTACAACTAATTAACAAAATAATTATTATAGTAAATAGGTATTATTAATGCAGTAATTACTATTAGTAGCGTCACTACTCACTAGTGTCGCACTTTTGTCAGCTGGTACTTGGTTGTTGGTACAAAATGTTGGAAATCACAAACGGTATAATTCTTGAAATCGTATTTTATTATTTTATACGATTTCAAGAATTACTTCCACATAACAAAAGAAACAACCCGCCGAAGGCAGACTCATTCCGAAATCCGAATTATACTGCCAATAAACATTTCTGAAAATATTCTAAGGAGTCGAGTACGTATCAAAATACGGTGTAATATGTTTAAAAACTGGGTACGGGCAAGAGCGAGCTTACTGAGCAAATCCAGCGGCGATCTCCTTATCGCTCAGCGGACGGCAGCGCACGATCACCTTAACCGATTCGCGTTTATTGGCCATGGGAGACGCGTCGCGATTCCCACGGAATTCACCTCACAAAACAACAATCCCAGCTTCTCCACAGCGATTTATTAACTCAGAACGGCCGAACAAGTTGGCCATGAGCACAACACGGGTACCGAGTCAATTATTCGCGTATTAATCTAATCCCGGGCCAACAAATCAATATAAGCCCCGCGCGCGCATCGCGACACATCCTCAGCAAAGTGCTCTCGCATCGAGCAGCGCAACGCGCACCTTTTCAGCTTTCACCGAGTGACATTTTCGCGGATCTGCACAACATCAACAACAGCGGCCCACAGCGCGGAATAATGATCGTTAAGAAAGTTGTCGCACGGGCGGCTACCGTGAATAATTGATATCCGAGGCGAAAGATGTTGGGAGTCGTACAAATGACACGGATTTCCTGGATGGAATGATGCTGGGAAAATTCGGGGGAATAGCGAGGACGTGTTGTGTCCGAAGAGTGCACAATCATAACATTTAAACACGGGCAGAGCGCGTCGGATCAACTGCGTCGGCTGCACTCGTCAACTCCGATTGGATCGATACAAAGTGCACTGTGTATGCGGTTCTGTATGTACAATACAGAGTACGGTACTGTACGCGTATGTATGTACGTAAGTATTTTTAATAATTTTAAAGTCTGTACTTAAAAATTAATTATTATTGTGCAGATTATGACAGTACCTCAAACAAGCCAGCTGCTAGTAGCACTTAATAAGTGTATTTGCCATTAATTTTGAACTTTACCCATACCGCAAGCTTAAACACAAACCGATGCTATTAATTTTTTGCATCCCAATTCGGCACTGTCAACATACTGCAACTACTTATATTTTACCAATTTACCCGGTACTACTCGAGTAGAGTTACCAGTAGATATTAATAACTATAATTATGGTAAATCAAATTAATGTACAGTTTAGTATTTATCTAATTGTGAATCAAATGTTAATAGTGTTTCAATAATTAAATGAGAACGATTAATAATTTTTCTACATTTTTGCTTCTTCTTGCGTTTTTTACACTATGAGTATGTATTGTACACACATAATAGAAGTATCTATATTGTAAACTATAGCGCGGGCTTTAATATTGGTTTTGTAACAGATTAATTGCCGTTAATAGTCTATGGCTGCGAAATTGGTAACCGTACAGTTAGAGTGCATAAGAACGAAGAGAAGAATTTATTTTATGGTTTGAAATGTAGACTAGGAACTGCGCGCATTAGTGTACAATACTTCTATATATAGTACTCTAGCAAAATAATTGGTTTACACAATAGCAGCAATCGAAGTATGGAATAAAGACTACGAGTAAAGTTTGTCCAGCCACAAAATGTGTACTGCACTTGAGGCTTTTCTACCATCCTCGCTGATTTTTCGCTACGAAGTGTGACGTAACGTGCCCACATAAATTATTATTCATTTTGGTTGCAAACTATCCTCTGGAACAGTCACATGAGGTTTTCGATACAATTAATCGAACCATCGATTTGTCGGCGCTCCACTTCCGGTGGATGCACACTGACCTTTCACATGTCGGGTAAAATTAGCGATTATTTAGAGGAACAGTGAAATTATATTATTACTGTATTACAGAGCCATCAATATTACCAGAATAATTGATCGAAAATGTTGTATGAAGTGAGTGTCGGTTCGATTGCAAGCCACTTTTAAGAGCAATTTTTGGGGATTCTTGTCAGCAATCTCCGAGCTACAAATTTAGAACGAGGAATTTTTCAAGCATATTTTTCAGCTTCGAAGGCTCTTACATGAAGACAAGGTAAACGTATTATCATAAAATTCGTAATTTCGTACACACCGAACACTACACGAAAAGGATAAGGACTGAACATTTTCACGTAAAATGGGAATTTCAGACAAACGGAGAGCACCAAAACAGTTCAGCATCAACTCTGTTTTTTATTCCAATTTAAAAAGGCTCGATCAAAGTAATTTCAACAGGCACCAGGGACAAAAAATCCACAGAGAACATCTCTTCGGTCAGAACATCAGAACATGGTCAACAACAAAAAAGAAGAAAAGCAATAAATTATCCATCATGGTCACCGAGAAGACAAAGAAGACGTGCGCGAGCACCCCATAACATCGCGGAGAATTATTCACGCAGTTTGCCTTTCTGACTGGTGGCATTGGCGCTCAGACGACGGTGGTAATTCTGAGCCAGGGAATTGATAATGGATAAGATAAAAGACAACACCATCACCAGTACCAGCTTCTCAAAGCCCCACTGCAGCCACGACTGCTCCTGTTAATATACAAATTTAATAAATAAATATCAGATGAACAACTTAACGAGTGTACGAGTACAGTACAACGATGACCGAGTACGTCACCGGTAAACACTGCTAGAAAAAGCACCAGGAAAATGTTGCCAGGAAAAGTAATCGCTACTGAAAATTTATTCCACCAGTGTTATTTTGAAGCACCTCATATGTCAGATATGGAAAAGTCTATTCAGCCACTAGACTACAATGCCTATTAATTTACAGGGTGCGATTTCACAACGGTGAGAAAATCATTTTAATTAAAATTTTTATTCGTAAAAGTATACAGTAATTAATGCAAACATTAACTAACATATAAACCATACACAAAAAAATTTACGTTTAATACGAAATTTAAATATAATTCTAACAAAACATGGTGCAATTTCACAACCAACGGTGAGAAAATAATTTTAATTGACATTTTAATTCGCAAAATTATACAGTAATTAATACAAACATTAACTAACATATAAAGTTATAAACCATAGACCCACAAATTTTACGTTTAAATACGAAATTTAAATATAACTGTAACAAAACATTCCTGCTTCAAATTAATTCTAACCACCTTACCGTCTGATGAGCGCCAGTGCCCGGCTGCCGGTGTAGGTTGCTCTTCTGTTTACGCAGGAACTCGACAAACGGTGTTTCCAAATACGGTCCTATCCGCGGAATATGTCTACAAAACACCATCATTTTACACTCAAACTGATCAGACAATTTTTTTCCAGGGCACTGCTTACTTTAATGAGTTGATAATGTGTTCCACATGCCGTTCGGAAAAGGTAATTATCACAAATATCATTTGGATGTGCATCTTGATCACCGCTTTCCCAATCAGTGTCGCCCCGAAGAATGTACTAAACGGTACCAGAAAATGTCCGCACGTGATACCAGCCAGATCAAATAACGGATTTGGAATCTGCAACAAAGAATGCAAAAATTTTTTAAATCAAATCACTAATGTTTCCAGATTAATTTCAAGTAAAAGTCGCCTTTCTCAAAGCCTACTCAAATATCATTTACACTTACGGAAGCGCCTAGCAGGATTCCAAAGAATCCCACTTTGAGAACCAGTTCTTCCAAGAAGACGGTGGCTCGCTCTTTTATAGTCTGCCCACGACAAAAAAGTGATAAAAACAAGTAAATGTGGGAACTGTCGATCTCCTTACGAGAGGCAGTTTTTCCTCTTTGCTTTCCAATAAAGCCTGTAATTCCAACAACTCTTCCGGTTCCCGGCCGGAAAGGCGAGCTGCCCGGGCCATAAAGTACGGAGGCAATTCTCCAATGGCAGTGCCGAGACCCTGTTAAAGCCAAACTATTTTTAGACAGCAGCTGATGACCGGTAATAATTACAAAAAATAAATACACATAAAAACGATACGTATCTCATATCTGTAATTCATTATTTTTTAGTAAATACGTATTGCGTCCATCGGTCCATGATCGAAGTAATAGGCCACTTAATACAGTGGAAGAGAACGTAGTGCAGTGCCACTAAGCGTAAACCTAATGAAGACTTTCGCTAAAAGCAGTGTTTCATTCCCAGTTCTAAAACCGTAGTTCTGACGTCTTTCGACCGTAGCGGTAATTGTTTTTAAGATTGCTAGCTACCAAAGTCAAGAATGCAACTTTTTACAGTGGTATTTTCCGTAACGGGAAAACTTTCCCATTTTGAACTTACCCACATGAACGATTCCAGTCGAACTTTGGACATGATATTCCAAAGCGACGGCACAAAATCAACGTCATTGTTAATGCCTTCCGGACAAAGAATTCTAAGTGGGAAAAGGCGTTATCAGTTAATGGACAAGTCATAAATCGAAAAGAAAAAGCCAAACAACACCGAAAAAATATTCGTACATCATCCAGCGTAACACAAATTATTAATGTCTCCGTAATCAGTGTGTATAACAATTTTAAACTCCTATTCCTTTTTTTGACACTTTAATAAATAGTATAATTATTGTAACGTCTTAATTTAATCGAAAATAAATTCGGTACATAAATGTGACTGAAAAATCTCAACTTCTCTTTAAAAAATGTATTATAAAAAGATAAATAATTGTAAGCAATAAAAAGTTAAATACAAAATACAGAGTACACAATCTAAGAAACTTGGAAAACAAAACCAGCTTGAATAATACACAGTATATCTACATACTCGTCGGGGTAGGGCGGTTCAGGGAACTTGAGTGTCCCACATTCGTAAGCCGCCAGTGTGACGGAGGCGATATGCGGTCCCAAATAGAGGATAAACGTGTGTAATCCGGTGCCTAACCCGATCGATGACAATACACCCAAACCGATCCAGTAAAGACAAACCAGCAGTTTCTTCTCCGCATAGGCATAATACTGCAATCAAACCACAAGGCAATTAAACCAACAAGCTCCTATGGGAATAACGTCAGATTCAGTTTCAATTTGTGTAAATAATTGCCACTAGCCAGCATCATCAAAATTTAAAACGGGAAAACGTTAAATTCAGGAAAGGAAAATATGGGAGGCAATGCAACGGCAGCTATCCTTACGTATGTGAAAAATGCTTAAAAAATTAAAATAATATCTATATTAAATAATCTCTTAATTTATGATAAATTTATAATAACAGATTTCATTATTTCATACAACCGTCAAAAATATAATAAGCTGACAACACAAAGTGACGCATCATTCGGGGGAAGCATATAAATTTCGGTATAAATAACGAAATTTGCCGAAGGTTTTTCCTTGTTTTCCAATACTGTTCAATAAAGAGGAACAAAATTGATCTCCGATTTCCTTACCCACTGATGCGGTCCCTGAATGTTGTATGTGACAACAACCAGTGCAGATAAAAGGGCAAATGGAATAATCAGGTTGGAGCGAATGAGCCTACAGCCAAAAAAGAAGAAAAACATCAAGTCCAAATCAGATCAACCCATCGAACTGCATTAAGAAAAAACCGACACATTAGGCGGTGCCAAAAAATTTATTAAGGACAGCCTGCCATGAGGAAATATGCACCAAAGTAAGTAGTACAACAAAAATCTGCGATAACAAATAACAATAGTCCAACAAAACTGCACATTTTTTTACGATATGATAATCCCACAACAGTTAAAGCGAAACATTTCATTCAGAAGATGCATAAAAATTAACAGTCGACGCATATTAAAAATTCGACGCTATTATTCTTAACAACAAAACTTTAATTTCCCCGAGGTTTTCTAGATAAAATCACTGTCACCAAAATACACAATTTTAATACACAATAAAAAAACAAATATTCGTAAACAAATTAACTGTTACGGTGTTCAAAATGTTTGAATTTGCTCAGTAAAAATAAAGTTTGATAAACGCAATAAACCGAGAAATGTGAAATCGTAATCGTAAATAATAATACTGCAAGGTTATCGTGACTGTTTTCTCACCTGGTCCCAAACTCCCGTACCAAAAGTGACACTTCCATAACAAAATAGTACACGGTCATCAAGGGAGACCGGAAGAGAGTGATTTTTTTCCTTTCATCCTCCTCCACCTCCAGTTCGCGCTTACGGCGCTCCTCAAAGGACGCACTGGACGGCAGTCGCGGTCGGAAGCTGCCCGATCCCACCGCCAGGAGATCCTTGGACCCGCGCACACTCCCGTTGGTCTCCACCGTCACGACGCTGGCCGCAGGGGAGGGAAGACTGCCGTTGGACTGTGCGGCTTTCATTTTCCGCTTGCGGGCCTTCCCGCTGTTGGCGGCGGAAGCGGCGGCGGGGGGACTGACGTCGGAGGGATCGGAGGGGGCCAGGCGGGTCTTGGAGCGGGTGACACGCTGGAAGTCGCTGCTCGACGGGGAATGCGGACTGACCATGACTAGAGGCGGACGGGAAATGCGAGAGGATCACGTGGACAGGGTGAGAGAGCTTGCCGTCTGCAAAGATCAACACCACGGTTGTCACGTCAGCGGAAAAAAGGTTGGGTGGGGATGAAGTTAATGCGACACCTGTATTGCATCGTGCGGAGGACAAATTAGGATGGGGCGATCAAAATAAAAATTTGTATAAAATTCTCTTGTAAAACAAGTACAAGTAAACCGTGTTAATGCACCGTCCGTCCGTAATCAGTCCAAAATGATAAAGTAATTAATCATCACCCAGAATCCCCGATTAGCGCTTTTCAACCATGAACCAGATCATTAACATTCCCGAAAAATTATACAACGTAAAAATTTAAAAATACCCAAGATGGCAAAATTGTAAATGGTTAAACTCAGGAAAATATCTGTTTAGAAATGCGATTCGATTTCACCAAAACATTGTACGATAACGCAGAACGCACAATATAAACAACGGTTCGTCCTGCTGGAAAAATAAATAAAAATCGTATATTTTTAAACCAAGCACCAATATCAGTTATCCTAAAGTATCGCAGCGGTATGCAGTACGTATTGGATTTCCGAAAAATTAATTAGTCGCACTCCGCGTGAATATTCCCGTTCTGAAACTGAATCACGAGAAATAAACCACTACATCTCGAAATCACCATGATTAACCGTTCATCACTACTAAATTCACTCGAAACAGACGGTTGTTTCGTACGTAGCGCTGGTACACGTCATGATCGAATGTTGCACATGCGCGCCGAAAGTTCGCCGAACCGTATGATCTAACCGGAAATGATTAAATCAGAACCTTACGTCAAAATTACATTCGAAATGTTCACTTTAATACAGTAGCAAATTATTGACAGTCAATGTAAAATGAAAATGACCGATAAAATCACAAGATTTTGTAATAGTAAGCTTTAAGCTATAACTTCCAGCTATTTCGCAGTTTAACAACACCGCTGCAGCTTTTTTAGTAACCGGAAATTTGTAAAAAAAATTTACAGATCTGACGGTATTTCAAAACACGCCAATAATCTGGGAAAATTTGCCTCCACAAATAACATTCGTGTACGAAATTTCTACAGGTTGAACGCTGAACGATGACATACCTGTCTAAAATAACCGAGAACAGTCCAGAATAGCACACGGGAAAACACTGCGACCGTCGATAAATCATGCCAAATTGTCATGCCACCTTGTTAGCGAAGGATTCAAACCAGCGTGAGCATTATCGGGTTCCGCGTGGCCACGGCAATTATCAGCAATCCCACTGGCCCACCATCAACACCATAAACCTGCCTGTCGTCATACTGTAGCGCGTCAGTGATAAGGGGAAACCAGGTCAGGACAAAGAACCCCCAGCAAGCACTCAACCACGATTCAACGTTCAACTAATTAAGTAACTCAACTCGCTGTGATCCGCAGACTGCTGAAACTGCAGCAGCTGCCGTCTCCTGCACTAAAGGTGTGCCTGGAGACGAGGACAAACGAATCGAAATCTATTCCTTACTCAATTAGTTGCGGATGACTGCGGGACGATAAAAAACGAAATACCGCATTGATGCCAAAAATAATGTTCCAGGCTTTTTGAAAATCTGCCAACACCACTCTGACAAATTTCTCACGAATCAATGCACTACACGGCCTACGCTTCCCGGAAGCGCAGGTGATACGTTCTGCGTATGCGATGCGTCAATAAAATGCTGTTCTTGGCTGACTGCGTGCTTGCCCTGTATGGCTGCCCTGTAATATCGTCTCGTGAACAGGAAAACGATTGCAAGCGCACTAGTACTGTAAGTCAATCCGTATGGAAAATTTTAATGGAAATGGTATTTACGTGACTTCCATGGTAATGGATTTCAACACCAGCCCTGTGATTTCATAAATTTTATTTGCTGTGAATTTTGTCTTTTTAGTAATTTAGTTTTTCGTGTTTTGGAATAATTTAAGGATTTGCCGTTTGCGTAGCCATTCTTCGGAATCTGAACATCGGTGCCCAGTCCTCATTGCGCGTATTGTCTTTCATTTTTTTGTTTGCGGAATAATCTTGCCTTTCTCTTTCGAGTTTTATTCAGTCATGGCTATGCAGGATTTTATCAACAACATGAAAGGGACAGCTCTCGGAGTGGCTGAATATCTCTCACCTGTTCTCAAGGTACAGCGCTTTTAGCCCGATTTCAGGGATATGTGCGTGTAGAGATGTGGTTTCTAAATGGGAGGTTTGATCCAGGAATGTTAATGTTGTCTTTGATTGGCAGGAATCCAAATTTAAAGAGACTGGTGTACTGACTCCAGAAGAGGTATGTGTACTTTATTACTGTGTTTGTACTAGGTGCGCACCCTGTTCTCACACATAGTACTTAATGGTTAGTACGAGGAATCCGTAGAGATCCGTTCTGTCTAAGTTTAAATTACGTGGCGATTTTTGGTACGATTCTTCAGCCTGAACCATACAAACAAACACAGCTGATCATCGTTGGCTATGTATGTTCACTTTTTGATAGTTTGTGATCGCTGGAGATCATCTGGTGCATTACTGCCCTACATGGCAATGGAGCCAAGGAGAGCCGAGCAAAATTAAGCCCTACTTGCCTCCTGATAAGCAGTTCCTAATTACGAAAAATGGTAAGTACAGTATGTTTACAGTTTAGGATGATAATTACTGTATGCAGTACGTAACTGATTTGTTCACGTACAAGTTTACAACAAAATGGCATTCGTAACATAGGTAACTAACATTTTCTTTTTTCTGCAATGGTAAAAAATTATATTGCTTCTAATTCTGTAATTGTCCGCAGTAAACTCCATTGGTAGACTACTACTACTCGTAGAATGTGATGGCCAGTTTCCACAGTAATTCGTTATTAATAAATGTGTACTGTTGATGCGTGATTTTTTGTGCATTGTATCTGTTAAAATTTGTGTTGTGTGGACAGTGCCCTGTTACCGCCGCTGTCATCAGTTGGAAAGTAAGGGGGATGACCGGATAATTGAGATTGAAGGCGATACGGATGGGGGCTGGGTGGATACGCATCCAGATGAGAATGGCGATGCGGGATCCGCGGCAGCGCAGACCAAAACGGAAGCTGTTAAGCAAGAGGTGCGCATCGCTGAATATACAGATTCTAGTCCCGCCACGTGTTCAAAATATTTCTGCGTCAAACCTAATTTTTTTTATATACTTTGGTTTGTTTCCGAGTTGTCCCATGATATCTCCATGATAAGTGAATTGGAATGGGAAATTATCTTGGACTGTAGTAACTGCAAGTTATATTAGCATCAGTAATTGTGTGTTTGTTATTTTGTTGTTAGCAGTCGGTGAAGCCATCAAACGGGGCTGACGACGATGATGATGATGAAGATGAAGAAGCGGGGGATATGGAAGATTTCGTCGACAGCGGTTTACTGGACACCGACGACCCGGTAAATCCGACATCTGATTGTGCCGCATTGCTAATCGAAAGGACATTCGAGAATACAGTCAAGTAACTAAACTTGTTTTGTGGTTGTTACATGTAGAGTACGCTGGTGACGGTCCCAACGAAAGCCAAAGCCCAGACGTCCGTGGAAGAAGAAGGCATCGAGCAGACGCGCACTTACGATCTCCACATCACGTATGATAAATACTACCAGACACCGCGACTGTGGCTTTTTGGATATAACGAGGTAATTGTTAAACATCTGTAGATTTTGAGAAATTAAAGTTGACAGTACTTGGGGATCTGGGAACATCTGGATCTTATTTTTTCAGAACCGACATCCATTAACAGTGGAGCAGATGTACGAAGATTTTAGTGCCGATCATGCCAAGAAAACCATTACAATGGAGGCGCATCCGCACATTTCCGGTCCACCTATGGCTTCCATTCATCCTTGCCGGTAAATATTTTGCCGTGCGATTAAAACTTAAAATATTCGGAATTATTCTGGAATTTTGTTCCGGGTTTTTGCATGCAATATTGCCACTTCAGACGCAGTTTGTTTGTATTTTTGGAGTTTTGTTAAGAAAATGTAGAGATTAAAAAAAGCTTTGATGTAGTTAGTAATGTTGGTTTGCCTGATTTTATTAATTGCGTGCCCCTGTTTTACAGGCATGCCGAGGTGATGAAGAAGATCATCCAGACTGTGGCCGATGGCGGAAAGGAGTTGGGTGTGCACAATTACCTGGTTATCTTTTTGAAATTTGTCCAGGCAGTCATACCGACGATTGAGTATGATTACACCCGTAATTTTACCTTTTAATCCGTGGTTATTAGCCGTGCTGTCATCTTCCTTCGAACGATATGCTCCAAAAATGTGCAATGTATTTATTTTGTGTTATTTATGGCCATCTTACCCCGGTCGATTGTTACTTTTTTCACTGTTCGGCGGTTTCACTGTGCTTGTGAGTTATGACAGTGGTTTGCCGGCCAAGGCTTCCTTTTCTTTCTTGATAATTCCTTTTGTATCGAATACCGATTTGACATTGATTAAAGAAGTCATAAGTATGCCGCAGATGTATGATATCCACCCGTCACGTCTCCGGTTATAATTTAAGCTTTTAATTGGTAATTTGAACCTCCGATTCGTCGATGACATCGAGCTGTCAGCCTGCCACTGTCAGGAAAGTAGTTTATTTAGTAACTTTATTGCCACATACGAAACTTCTACTTGGCGCTAGGAATTATTGTCATTCTTATATAAGGGCTCTTAAATGGTTAGAATAGAATCAATAGACTCGGTAAGCAGCCGGACTTGATGTCCATGAGTCGTGGGTACAATAGGCACAACTACAAAAAAACGGTTCAAGACAGATTTATTTTAGAGAGCAGATTCTTGAAATCCCGCGGCATCCACCCGTAGTATTTTCACCCAAACATTCTCTACTCGCTCAAAGATATTCTATCACACGTCCCAGCGTGCCCTGTGCCCACTACGGTCTTCTGTTTTGTTCGGGCTTCGCTTGTCTTCGACTTTCGGAGGTCATACCCGCAGATGTGATACAACGTCCGTCATCTTGTCAAGGCGATCATCTTGACCGCATCCAAAAAATACTGGCGTACATGATGATGACTGTACATCCAAGAAAGTACAAGTTTATACAGTACAAGTGTATCCGCTTCGGCAGCAGCTTCCCCTCCTCCGGTCATTACGGTGATTGATATGTCCATCTATATAGCGCATTTGATTAAAATATTGGCGACACCGAAGTATGGTTAAACCGCCATGCGGGATAGGATCTGCCGAGTGCCGACCCCGCCACGCCACATTCTTTACGCCTTACGCGCATTGGACATAGCATGCAGGTGCACATCAAAAATCGTTTAAGCATATTTATAGTATAATCAAAGAATTTATCAGTCGAATTCATTTACTGTATTCGTTTCATAACAATTCATCGTAGAACAAAATTTATAGTTGCTATAACTGCAGTGTAGCATATGGCTGCTTTCTGAGCATTACGCTCTATTATGTGCTATCTGCATCTTAAATTTCACACAAGAAATTTATCACTCAGCTTATCGCCTGGTTAGATGGATGTGAAAACACGTTAATGGCACTGGTACAATTACTGCCAAACAGAACTCACAAATCTTAATCGTTTAATTTGGATCCTTCTACAAAAATTTTTTCGTCATGGCATGGGTGTATCTGATACTGTACTGTGTATAACAAACATATTAAGAGTGCGCACAGAATCCACAGATTATTTCACAATCTAAAAAGTAAAAACAGTCGGTATGTACTCTGATTATTACGTATACGCTGTCAAAATTCAAATTATATAATGTCGAACAAACAAAAGAAAATTCCGGTCTAGCAAAATGCCGAATGGATGCTGTGGACTTTTTATATAAAAACGGGCATCTTGGCTTTGTTCCAGTAGCGAAACAGAAAATATGAGCTGACCTCAAATCGCTACATCTGTCGGTTACAACATTTTAATAATATTAGTTATTTTAGCGTTTGAATCGCCGATCATGTCGAGCTGCTAATGTCCAAAATATACTAATTTTAACGCCAAAAACCAAACTAACAATCAATCAGGCGCTGTATAACTATCATTATTACATCAGGAGCATTTTATGGTTAACACTCGCACAATTTCACATTCGATTTACGTCGGCTTTTCCTGTGCGCCGGCCAGGCAGCGCCAATCACGATCGTGCAACACGCCCATTTCCGGCTGTGTTACGAGGCTTTTGCACACTCGCGCCAAATTTAACATTCCGTTACAGAATCAAAAATTCAGTTTGTCTGATCTTGGATTTTTTTATCCTCTCATAACTCATTTACTTTGTGCTTTTCAGAGTGGAGTTAGTTCCGATATTTAAAAAATCTGGGTCGACCTATTTTAGTTTTGTAAATTCTTATCATCGATATTACGGAGCATTGACTTGCAGATCAAGATTGGGACGCTCAGTTAATATTCCATTTGCCTGCGAAAATTGCGTTGTTTGAATAGTAACTCGTTTCTTCAAAGTCTGCAATATCAACCGTAGCTAAAAAAAACAGCCAGCAGCGCACATCCGCAGAATCTGTGAGGAAAGAAGGTGGATGTTATGTTTACATTTCAAAGAGGAGTCGACTCCTGGGTAGTCACTCAAGTTAGCAGTGTTGATCTGAGCCGTCATTGTGGCGAATCCGGTTGTTAGTTTTGCGAGATGGACTCGTCTGGGAAGTCGAGGCTCCCATTTACTCTGAGGAACTGATCTCTACTTTATTACGCTATTTCCAGATAACAACAACAACGTAACAAAATGCTTATCTTCTGACGTTTCTTCAGTGAGCTCTTCGCTTTCTGTGTAAACCAGCTGTTACCAGCAATTCAATTTGCTCTGTGCGTGTTGTTACACGGTTGCTGTGCAGGTCGACCTCAGATGTGGTGTTCACACGGCTCCTAATGAGCAAATGATATTTCAGAATTTTAGTTCATTTTCTGGAGCGAAACCAACATTATTAATATTAAGAAGAAATGAAGAATACCGAATAATAAGAATGCCTCAAATACTCAAATAATCAACAAATGAAACATTAGTAAAATCAAATCAGCGCATTCAGCTACAAAGCCAGTCCGAGGGAGACGGTGAAACCGCGGACAGAGCGATTTTTACAGTCTCTTGTGTCACAAACTTCTCTTCCCGTATCAACAAACTAATTTTCCCTAAGTATAAACCGGTATTAAAATATGCTGAATAGCAGGATCAAGCAACGTACGTTGTCCGATTCAAAAACAAAAAATCTGGTCGAGCGTAAGCAGGGAAAACGTGTGCCACTTCCGGTTCGGGAGTGTTCCCGTTTCTGTTGGCTAACAATAACACAGTTGTTCTGTTTTCCTAAAATTTTAGCTAGTTCTATAGCTTACCAAATTCTCTAGGAATACATATAAGGCTAAAGAGCGTGGCACATCTGCAGAATTTGTTCTTGGTTTTTTAAGCATTTATTGCGCCTGAGCGGCAGTAGAAATTGTGCGAGTGTTAAAACAGATAACCAGATTAACAACCGGACTTTGATGTCCATTGGCACAGTCTGTACACAAAGAAGTGATTCAAAGAGAGATTTACGTACTTTAGAGAACTCATGCAACTAAGTAATCCCGGACCATCATCCTGTAGCATTTTCAGTCTCATTCAGTCACAAGGTCAGCATGCCCAATGTTTTTGTTGTTTTGCCCTTATTTTTGTTTCCAGCTTCGATTCTCTTCGGCTTTCGGAGCCTGTACCGCGATGCAGTGTGGATGAAGTTAATCATCTCGATCAATTCCAAGAAACCACTGAAGTACCGGTATATAGTCATGTTGCTATCAAAATCAAACAAATTAGCGGTTAAATTAAAACTTATGAAGCCATCATCCGTACAACAAAGAGCAAAATTTGGATTCCCATTCCTACACGAACAGAAGCAGTGCATTCGGCTTAACACTTATGAAGCTCGTCCCGCAGCATTAAAAGAATCCGCTTAGACAGCAGCTCCCGATGCTTTTCAGTTATTCCTGCCCAAGGTGAATCGCGAATCCGATCTAGTTGTCCCATTCGCTCACCAGGCTGCCACAGTCTCAGCACCTACTCAGTAAGGAATTGACATGTAAACAATACACGTAAATACATTGTACATACAGTACATAATACAAGCCCAGCACGGATAAGTACTGGCTTATGACTAAAGAGAATTTTTGCAACTCCGACTGAACGGAAACGCCGTCTGTTGCTTTTTTCCAGATTTTAAAACTGACCAGAGATATTCAAGAAAAAAGTTCGGCACAATTTTTCTAATATGCAGCGGGTGACGCATACCATTCGACGATTATTTATCTGCGATACCCACATCACGGTAAGTACTTAACAGTAATTAATATTCATCCAAGGCAGACACGATTACCATTCACACAGTATAGCGGCGTTAATATAACTATTACAGCGACGTCGACCTACGCTAGCTATCGTTTGTACAGTACTTTATACGTAATATATCTGCATTTTGGCAAGCGGAGTTTGTATAAAGATGATACCTGCCGTGATCCAACAGCGGATAACTGCATATGTGACCTTTTCCTTTCTCGTGCGCGCGGATGATCAATTTCCGCATCCTCCCTGTTGGTAGATTTCCTATACCAAACTTCGCCATCCAGCGTCAGCTGCACGTCCACGTTCTCCAGTTCGCGTAAGTTACAGATGCGGTAACAAGCTGAAATTCGAGATGCCGGCGGTTCCCCATACAAGGCATCGCAGCAGCACAGTAACGAAAAGTCGGCAAAACCGTATTCTGCTGTGAAACCCGCTGACGCCGGCTCCGCTGTCAACGTACCGTGAAGCCGCTTCCCCAAGGGACGCGTGCGTGCACATTCTGTGCGCGGTATTGACCACATCTCCAACCATTCGCTCCCCGCGGAGCTCCAGACAATTTTCAGGAAAATGTTGACGACAGGTACTCGAACGTCTACTGCAGAAAGCATACTGATAATGGTGCTGACATGGCGCATATCTTCAGAGTAGGTTCCTGTAATAGTGACCATGGGCGTGGAGGTCTTGACGGTCTTGTGCAGGATCACGGCAAATTTATATCCCAGGTTGTGGTCATGTTGGAATTTGTCTAGGCAGATCGTCACCGGCAACGGACACGATGATATCATGGTATTCCAGATTGGATGCACACGGCGACATCGCTGCTGATCATGTAAGTCCAGACAGAGGAAGATTTCTCTTTGCAGTTCGAAAGGCAAACCGATAAACTCAAACTGGGAAGTCTCGACATCTGCATGCTGTGTTTTACTGATGTTCTAAAATATGTCAAATAGTCATCCAGCATCCGATGTAGTGATTACTACAGAAACACCCTAATTGGTGACCTAAAATATTTTACCGGTAAATGTCCAAGAAAACCAAATTTGTACTGGATATTCTGATGATGCCATTCTCGTATTTTTTGATACTTGCTTCGCATTTCTTGATTCGCCAGCGACTTTTGAAGGTTTCGAAGAAGCTTTTCCTGTAAAAAATAGACCTATACCCATGTCCTGTATAGGCCTTGTTTTATTATTTCCGTCATCGTTCATCGTATTTTATTATAACTTAATATATCAATCAGCTAGAAACACAAAGTATTAAACTGCGTCAACTATCACACTTCTATACTTGCAAACATATTTGAAAATGGTTAAAACATCATGAAGGTCACGATTTATCCTCAATCAGAAAACATGATCATCGTGCTTACACATCTTTGCGGAGGAAACTTTTTGGTAACTGGACATATGTAGACCATCTTCGTAGCATTAATGGCTAACACAATCACCCGCTCTTCACGCCGCAGTACTTCCAAACACTCCCGCTGATGTGCTGTAACCAGTTGTTGCAGTTGTGGGTCCGCTGGTAGCGACATTTTCGATTTCATGTATTCACGCTCCGGGTGACCTTTTAGTCGGTAAGCAGCTGGCCGCAAGCGTTGAGCGAACATGCTGACCACACAGCGGACAACCGTTTCATCCATACAAACCTCAACAAATGCGTAAGAATCTCGCATAACGAGAATACGGCACGGGTACCAACGCCACGGGTGGTAACGGTCAAGTCGCAGTAGCGTTAACGCTTTGGCATGCTGTTCGCGGTTTTTGGTGCCGCTCTGCTCCGATACCATACTGTCCCACTTAATTAGATCTTCCTTGTAAAAAATGGGGCAGGAGCAGCGGGATAAGGGGACAGTCTCAGCGCGATGGCCAGGATAGTCAAAATCGACGATGCATGTGGTGTTCCGGGCATCGACGTCGATGAGCGCTCCATGGTGAATGGCACCGACATCGTTCGTCACGTCGATAGCGCCGTAACGCCAAACATCTACAGGTTCCTCTAGCATTTGTTTTCATGTAGAAACTCCGATGGATATACAGTACACTGTGAACGATGGTGAGCAGAAGGCGGTGTTAGTGTGACCATAGGTGACAACAGCAAAATGTGGTCAGGGTGGTGAGGCCGTGAGAGTACGTAGCCATTTCCGATTATGGCTAAACACTTTTCTTTCCAGTACACAGTGCACACCCCACGGGCAGCCAGTTATATTCACAAGTCAGTGCCGTTCACAGTGCTTCACACTTCACTGCATCGCGCACGCGCCGTTGAAATGATTGGGCTTTCACGATCAGCAGTTATTTGCCGTTTTCGATTTTCTTTCCACGATTTTCGTAAATAGTTTTTGTTTAGATTATCGACAAAATAAGAAGCCCCATCAAGGGCCTTAGGGGGGTTGTAACGAGCGAATTTGCAATTCGTTTCAGAAAAACGATATCCAGAGCAGATTATATAAGGCAGAATAGCCCGTATAAAAACGGTGCTCACCGCATTCGGATGAATAATCTGCGCTCCTGCAGCTGCCAGGGACAAAATCACATGTCACAATAAAAAGGGCGAAAATGCAAAGACATAAAAATAATCTTAGATTTTTAATTCGCAGTTGTATCAGTGGGTCGCCGACGAACGAAAGATGACATCTCATATCTATACACAGAGACGAGCTTCGGATAAATAAGTACTGCACGAATCGAAGTCCGGTTTAAAAACGCAAACGATCCCTAAATGTGAATAGGCTATGCCCCAAAACGATAATTATATTTGGATAGCCAAAAAGAAATCGAAAATCCAAGTATTTGCATAAATCGCAGAAAGAAAATCGCAAGAACACTGCTTGAAATTGAATAGCAACACTGCAACAGACAGACGGTGGGAAATTTCAACGGCGCGATGCGGATTCTGAACGTAACTGGCTGCCCGTGGGGTGGGCAGCCGCATATGTATTATAAAGTAGTGCGCCAGCTTGGATAAGTATTAAAATGTTTCTTAATTTTGTAAAAATTCAGCTAGAAGTCTTCGTAGTATCAGCCATATCGCGTATGTACACACTACACACAATACAATCATTACAATGTAATGTACAATACTTACGGTTAGATTATACTGCATGATCCAATATATTCGGATCCCACTTATTGTTAGATCTTAACAGTCGGTAAAGGCATCATACAGGGCTGACGATGACGAGGATGGTATGGAAGACTTCGACGTATGCGGATTACTGGAACACTGACGATCCGGTAAATCTGACATTTTACCCTGCCATGGACCGAAAATACAGTGGAGGAAGAAGGAATCGAGCAGATGCGCACCTAAAATATCCATATAGAAAAAACTCGATATATATTACGTACATGCACTTATTGTGTATATGATAATTAATAATTAACACTACTGCCCGACACCGGTACTGTGACTGTGGTTGTTTGGATATAATGAGGTTTAAGTAGGTGCTCAGGAGGTATAGAAAAAAACTATTGTTGACAGTTTATGTTAATTTGGGAATGTATGGGCTATTATTTTCAGAATCGGCATGCGTTAGTACGGTAACTGAGGTGCATTGTGCGCAGATTCTACAGATCCTGCATTTGTAGCGCCGAACTGCCGATCATGCCTAATGTGGACAACGCTAACCATTGCCGTTCCTCTTGGAGTACGAGAGGAATGAATGAACATTAAGAGTGGAATGTTCATTCATTCCTCTCTAGAGCAACGGCAATGCGCAACCATTACGACTGAAGCGCATCTGCACATATCTGGTCCATCTATGGCTTTGAATTCCGTGAATCTCTTCCGGAAAATGTAATCTAGTCGATCGCGCCATCGCGGTATATACTGTATCTGTCTGTATCTGGTAGCTTTGCGATAAAACTCTATGAATACGGAATTATTTCGGGATTTTGTTATTGAGATTTCGCATGCAATATAGCCGTCTTTTTGAAGCGATTTATTTTTGTTTTGGTAAGGTTTAAAAAAGTCGAAACTCAAAAGTTTTTAATAGTTAAGTAGTTAAGTACTAGTTTTTAATAGTTAAGTACTAATTTTTCATGGTTTTAATTTGGTTGGTTTACACCCGAGTAAAACAGTTTGTAAAAAATACGTTAGCTAAACGTTAGTTAAAGGCCAAAATTCGAACACTGTTCCAATTTTGGCCTTTAACTAACGTTTAGCTAACGTATGTGACGTGTGGAGGAGTATGTACGAGGGATTCCACCGTACATCCACTGACTGTCCGCCTTCACCTGCAAGTACAACACCGGATATCAGCACCGATCAGTTCTGTGATTCGTTATATTTATGGCTTAGCGGTGTATCTGATGATTTTACTTCTGAGTCTATTTAAGTCTGAAATTCTACTAATATCGAGAGGGATTGGAATTCAGTCTTGGATTTCTGATCAGACGACTACTTGCTTTTAACTTTCCTTGTGTTGTGCATATGATTGTGTGTTAGCGGAGTAAAGCATCTTCTGTGATTATCGACGTTCGTAATTTATATCGGATTATAGCGTGGTAAACACGGTATGCTCGTACTTCGTTTGACCCGCATGTGTGACGACCGGAAGTTAGGAGTATTCTTCAGCACAATCGCTTAGGGATTCCTGATCTTCGTGTTCCTGAACCTACCAGATTCCATACATTTCCTGTGATCCGCTGTAACAATTGAGACAGGAGTTGCGATATTCACTGAGCAAGGCAGGGATAGTGGTTACGACGATCCCGTCCGGAGAGTCGTTAGCCAATCGTGTACTTCTTTGTACCATTGGCAACCTCATAACACGACATGGCGCCCACCGATGGTCTTTAATTTCCCGATGTTACAGTGAAATTAAGGAAGGAATCTGAATGGTAATTAATTGATAGAAAATTGTGGTGGTCCGTAGAAAGGTGTCGAACCGAAAGGTACACCGAAGGAGGTCAGCGTTCCAGATCTGGCCTAGAGTTTTATTGGGTGAGCTTCCTCCCCGGGCTGAGCTTCCTCGCCCAATTGGCTGAGCTTCCTCGCCATTAATTAATTGATAAAATCGGACCGTAAATTCAGCAGTAAAATTGGTTGAAACCTTAAAGGTCAGCCAGAGAAAAGTGGTGGAAATAAAGCATGAAAGTGGGTAATTTCCGGGTTGTCTGCGCAAAGCGATGACCGGAGAAAATAAACTGTAAAGTGTAGCGTCAGTACGCCTGGCCTACATTCAAATCGGTAGCTGCAGATTGTATCAGAGCTAAAAGCCATTGTGTACGGCAAGCCTAGATAAAATCTTCAGCAGGTGAATACAAAGGCAGCGGAATCGCTAGCCAAATCAGCAGCTGGCCATACCAGGCAGCTAAAAACGTAAACAAACCAGGCAATCGGAGATTGACCTGTAGCGTGGAAAATAAAGTCGGAATTGGAAATAAAAGTAAATTCGTAGTTGAGACCGCAAAGGTCGCCAGTAATAATTAATTATAGGGAGGGCAGCAAATTGCCGTAATGAATTATCGTCTCAAACCTTAAAGGTGAGACGATGAACCAGAATAAACAGTAAGCACAATCGCTGCTGTTGTAAGGCACAATCGCCATAATTAATTATAGGAAATTTGGATTTAAACCGCAAAAGGTTGTAATCCAGCGGGCACAATCGCCTAAAAACAGTAATTAATTATAGGGAAACGGGACTTGAGCCGCAAAGGTTTGAGTCGGAAAGAAAACTGCACAATGGCAGATTCGGGAAAGAATAATTTGAGGGCGATCATAAAGATTGACCCGAAGATACTTGCCTTATATCAGAAAGGACCGTATGATGCATCACGCCAGAAACGATTTAAATTTAATGTGGATGTTATTCCACTAGAACTGATGTATCGGGAACTGGGCATTGAAGTACCGGATGTACTGTATTGTGGATTACCGTGGGTTCAGTATCAGGAGGATCCAACGCTGCCGCAATACCAGCGGAAACGGCCTAATTATTTAAAAAATTGGTTGTCGACGGACAGGTGCATTCCTGAGCCGTACATAAAGGAATATGTGACAGACGAGCAGTTCAAAGCTGCCGCGGAGCGTGCATTGGAAAAAGCTCCAGAATTTAAAAAGAAGTTGAAGCCAGGAAACTATTGGCAACACAGGAGGAGAAAACCCTACAAGATTCAGAACCGTCAACCAGATCGGTACAGGAGAAGGTTATCGATACGGTGTCAAAACTGAAGGAGAGATCGGCGCCAAAAGAGGTGCTAGCTCAGCCTCAGGAAGACAAACAACCAGCATCGGAAGTAAGCCTCATTGATTTTGATGATGCCACGGAAGAAAATGATCATTCGCCTAACTACGAGACACCGGCTAAAAGACATGATGAAACTTTGCACTTACCCAAGATAAAAATCGTGCGTACTGGTCAAGCGACATTTCACGCGTCCCAGGCCGGACTGGAAAACTTTCTTTCTGATAAGGATTTCGAATTCACGGATGAGGAATTTTTGGAACAAGCAGCCAATGTGGATGATAAATTGACCGTGGTCAAAACGAAGCAGGAGTTACAGGAAGTCCTGCGAGATTCAATTCCATTCCTTATACGGGGAATACGCAGAATCGAGGCACAGTCCAAATTAAAACTGGACTCTATCGGTGAATCGCAAAAGCTGGATCAGCTCCTACAGGAAGAAAGAAAGGAAAAATTGAAATTTCAGTCGGAATTTAATGAAATGCGGAAGAAATGTGAAGCAGCTTGTAAAGAGCGGGATACCGTATTGTATAAGAATCGTGCATTATCAGATAGTTTACAAAATTATCGTGAAAATTCAGATACGGATAAAAAGGAGTATAACAAATTACTGGAAGAGTTTCAACAGCTAAAGGATGGTAACCGCGAAGTGGAAAATGCAGCGGAAGAACTTCGGCGGGAAAACGAAAACCTGCGGGCATCCAGAAGTTCGAAGCTGAACCAACAGGCGGAAGCCGAACTGCAAAAACAAAATCAGAAATTAACCGAACAGAATCAAAGGTTGCGTACTGAATTACAGCAACAGAGGGATGCTTATGCCGAGTTACAAAAGAAAAACGGACAGGACGTAAACCAAATCAAGTCACTGCGGAGACAGCTGACAGAAGAACAAAAGCGCATTAACCCAAATGTGGATTATGTGGCAGAGCTGCAACAGGAGTTAGCCACAGTCAAATCGCAGAATGAAATGTACTTGTCCTCTTCACGAGCGGCAACGTCAGCAGTGACTAAGAGTAGGGAAGAAACCCTGTTGGCCACAATCGAACAATATAAAGTTGAAATCGCGGCAGAAAAAGCAGAGAAGGAGAAGCTACAAAAGGAACGCAGAGTAGGGAAAGATTGTGCAAAATGTATTAATGCCGAAAAAGAAATGCGGAAGCACAGGCAGCAGCCTTCGTAAGACAAACGGAAGTAGATAGATTACGAGCTGAAACTGATCAATGTCGAATCATAATTAATGACTTGCAACAAAAATTACAGCATACGGGCGCGGTGTGCGCAGAGATGCAGGAAGAACTCCAACACTATCGGAATCAGCATGCAGCTCGAGAAGTGCATTTCGAATCAGAGACACCATTGAGCGCCGGTGATCTAAATTCACCGTCTCGGAAGGATCTTTACGATCACCAAACATTCGAACCGTCGGATTCAAATTTACTGTTGTCCCAACGTGAGCCCTGCACGGTACCGCCGTTAAAGCCGGCCATTCGAATAGAGAAAACGGTTGAACCTCAAAAGATAAAAGAGAAGGAAAGTTTTATTAAATTAAAAAGAATACCGTCACAGAGGAAAGAAGTGTTACAACGGCACACATTTGAAACTGAACGCAGAAGGAGGAAAGGTGTGCGCCACACGGAAACCGAGGAAGAAATGTCCGACACGGATGAACAGAGTGAGGAAGATGATTACCGTGAGCCGCCGAGTGCGACTGGTTCAGTCTCTTCCCGCTCATCCCAGAGGGCAATTCGTCGAGATCCGCGCGACCAAAGGCAACAGGATACGGAAGGCAAAATCGTGGACATCCTGGCACAGTTAGCAAAAAGAGGTTCCGAAAAAACAGAATCCAGTATGAAATTACCGAACTTTGATGACTCACGTCCTGAAAGGATACAGCAATGGGTAATTGCAGTAGACCAGTGTCGTACCACAAATGGATGGAATGATAGACAAACCTGCCAAGCAATTTCCGGTGCATTGAAGGGCGCTTCATACATCTGGTTCGCTGAATTGTATAAGGATAATCCGACAAGAACATGGAACAGATTCTTTAAGCAGGCGTTAATCAAACACTTCAACGGTGCATCATCGAAGGCGGAAATGAGGCGGGCAATGAATAACAGGCACTGCCTAAAGGAAGAATCAGTCCGTACGTATATGGACAGTTTTATGATGTGGTTCAAGGAACTACGAATTGAGGAAGAGGAACAAGTGGAAGTCCTGTTGGAAGGCCTGAAAAAGCATAGACCGGGCTGGTATGCAACCTTATACCGCAATAGGCCGGAAACTTACGAAGAGTTTGAAACACAGGTACAGGATTGCGAGAAATTGCAGAAAATTCTGGATGAGGAGAAAAAAGGCGGTGAGCCGCGACAACGTGTAATTATTCAAGAGCCGAGAAGTGCCGGCAGCATTAATGATGCAGAAAACCGTACCAATCGTGGCGGATTTCAGTCCCGCGGAAGCTATTTCCAGCCGCGTGGAGGCCGTGGGAATTACCTTGGTAATAGAGGCGGATACTCAAGACAGTATTTCGGTTCAGGAAATTATCAGAATGTCCAAGCGGGAAGTCAGCCGTCACAGCCGCCGCCGGCACAGGCAACTTCCGTTCCGAATATATCCCAGCCCCAAGTACAATATATTCCGTATCCGGTATATCAACAGCCCCAGGCACAGGAAATGCAACCGGTACAGTTCGCTCAGACCTGTCCACCGCCTCCCACGCCCGTAATTCAGCCGCAAATGCAGGTGCCTGTTATCCCTATGCAACCAGTGCAGCAGACGCTTCCGCCGTTGCAGAATTTCCAGCAGTTTAGGCCAAATGCTCCGGTAAATAATAATAATCAGGGTATGAATCAAGGACAATTTAGGCCGAATAATTATGGAAATAATTTTCGTGGGAATAACTTCCAGCGCGGAGGGTACAATAATAATTATCGGCAGCAGCAGCCGAATAATAATCAAAATTATCGGCAGAATTCTCAGCAACCGAATCAGCAGGAACAGCCGTTTGATGAGCGAAACATCTGCAAGGAAGCATGGCGAAATAATCAAGGAAACGAAATTTGTTACCGGTGTCATGGAATGCATTCAGTGGCATCATGCCCGAATCCCTTAGCAGTGCCTCGACTGTATCGTCCCACACAAGAAATCTTAAACAGATGCAATAATCCCCAGATAAACATTATGGAATTGGAAATGGTCGGCACTTCAGTAACGAATGGCACTCCGGCAAGTTGCAATACGTTGGAAGTTGTAGATCCAAACCAGTATCCAGTAACGGATGCGGTGTGCCTGAAACCGACCTTAGACGCACAGGCATGGTATTCGGTAATTGACGTGAACTATCACAAGGTTAAAACGATGATTGACACCGGCTCCAGTATTTCGGTCATGTCGCATCAAATGGCGAAAGACCTGGATCTGTATTTCATCAATGTCCTGATCACATTCAAGGGAGAGTGGTCCATACGGCCTATCAAGGAAGACAGTTAATCGAGCCCATGTGTGCGATCATAACCATCCACGAGTTCGGGATGGCGTTTGAACATGCAGTATTGGTCAGTTCAACGTTTGAACGGGACCACATTGTATTGGGACTGGACTTCTTAGCAACGAAACCTTTTATTCTGGATATGAACACTATGACGTGGAGATTGTCCCGCCGACGCCCGAATTCTCCGACATGGTTCCCAAGAAAAATGCATTCAATGGCTGATATTATACGGGTACATCATTTTGATCCTATGATCCCACCCGGAGTAAAACCATCGCCGTCAATCCCGGCGCTATTGTTAACAGAAAGAATCGGTATTGCGAAAGAAGCACAATTTGTACCGTACGAGTCACCCCACCTGATCTTGACGAAAGCACCAGTGGAAATGTGCATGATGCACATCCAGCGAGCGAAAGAGGAGTGGCCACGGCCTCCAAAACCGGTAGTCCAAGCAAACGTGAAGTCCCCAGACTCGAGTCTGATGCCATCGGGATCGAACCAGAGGGATCGGGCATTCTTGGAAGAAGCAGTGAGGGAATCGGTGAAAGGTTATATAAAACCTAAGCACGAAACAGTTATCAAACGGGAAGAAAATAAGGAAATACAACGCGACATGCTAAATTCACCGATAAATTCAGTTCCCAGTCAAGTTTGTGGGGGAGGCGCGATGCCGCAGCAGCATGTTCAGAAGGAGGAAATACCCGACGGAGATGTGAAGCCGTTACCGGCAGTACAAAACCCTGTGAAAAATTCCATAATTAAATCGAGTCGATGTTTTGCAATTGATGCTAGTCAAGTTTGTGGGGGTACTGGTAAGCCGATTAAATCGCTTACCACGCTGGCTGCGTTACTACACATTCTACCGGATGAACAGTATACATTTGCGGGTTTCCCTAAAAAGACAAATAAAACAGCTGAATGCGTAGTGTTCGGGAATAAAGTGTTGAATGTAGTACCGATTGATTTCAATCACCAGCATGAAGATGAAACACATGAGCGGGAATATCCCTCTAAATTAGCCAGAAATCCAGAACTGATGCGCTGGATGATGCCGCCAACCCGACCGCAGGACAGAGATAGATTTCCAACAGAAAAACAATACAGAGATGTAGAATTCTGGAAAATCGAGCAGCAAAATTGTATGGACAGTCGAATGTGGCTCCGATATTTGAACAGACCCGAATATGCGAATACCAACTATCTAAAATATGAATTGAACAGAATGATCACCTTTGAAGGATTGATCTGTCGAATTCCCGATCATGACGGACAGTGCCCACGTATTTATGTCCCATTCCAATGGCGAGAAAAGTTAATCGCTAAATTCCACGAAAATTTGATCCACAAACAGGTGTATGGTCCAAGAGAAAAACTTTATCCGTACCTTGTGAAAATGTTTTATTGGCCGGATATAATTATACAAATTGAAGAATATGAGAAGGAATGTGAAGAATGTCGTCATTCTTTAAATTACCGGCAGCATTATAATTCAGCACATCGGAATGAATTGTTGGCAACGTCAGACAAGAAGAAAGTAACTTTTTCACCGGAAAATCCAGCTCCCGCAGGGGATTTCGAAAATGGCACATTTGTTCCGGCAGAAGGTATGCCGTTGTCCGACATAGGTCCAGTTCCCGTTTCCTACGAAGACAGAATGGCGGAGAAGCAAAAGCTGACTCATGAACAGGCGTTAAGCAAATTACCGTTCGGTCTGGATCTGTCTAATATCCGGTTGTCACCCAAAACGGCACCAAATGATTCAGCAGTCTATGTCGGAGCCCCACGGGATCCGACGGTGGCATATCATGGGCAGCGGAAAACAAAACAATTACCGAGTTGGCAAAACCCGGAGTTATTAGCGACACAAGCCGCTATGGCTGATGTGGACGTGGGCGAACAACACCGTATCTGGAACGAGATTCAACAAAGCAACGGTGCTAACATAATACCAGCAGAGGTTGCCGGTGAGCAAGACGTAGAAAAACTAGGAATTGACCAATATGAGTACAAACGGAAGCGAAAATCGGGCGCGAGTCGCCGTTTAAAACAACAATTAATTCAATTAGCCTTGGAGCGTGAAAAATTAAATGAACTCACCCAGCAATGCATCCAGCAATTGGAAGAAAATCAGAGGGTAGCAATGTCGCAAGAAATCCAAAGCTCTCTAGCTCCGGCGATAAAATCGCAGGATGCACGGGACGCTGATGACATTCCGGCATATGTGTACACGAAGGATGGTATTCACACGCCGTCGCGAGAATCGGAAGTCCAGAATGAGGCGGATGTCGTCAAGCAGGCTGATAGAACAGAGGATGACATCTATCGAGTCGAGCCAGAGCCGACGCCATTTGAATTTTTCAGGATGGAATTATTTCCGGTGTCCCCAGTAATGATCCAGCCGCGTTCCCAGGGAATCATTCGAGTTAGAACAGATATGTCGGCTGAAAAATTGCAAAAATTCCAGGAGAAAAATTTGCAGAAGTTACCATACTTGTACGAAGGCAAAATCCCAGCAAATAATAAAAATGTCCTTTTGTTTGATGGTGTGGTATCTCTCAATGAAAAAGGAAACACACGAGTTTGTGTTATGAACGCTTCGGACAAACATATGGTACTAAATAGAGAAACGAACCTTGGAAGTATTGTGGTGGTCGATGAAGTGTATCAAGTTGACACACCGGGATATTGGGAGAATTACCATGATGAATTCTGCAAAATTCCGCGTGACGAAAGCGGCACGCCGATAGCGGAAAGAATATGTGATTGCTTGGCAATGCAGGCACAGGAAGTGCAGTCCAATACGGAAATTGACCCTGAAACAGAGGAAACATTCGCAAAAATAAAAATCGGCGAAATCTGTCCAGACAAGGAAGCGTTAAAACGGATCTTTTATGAAGCGAAATCAGTCTTACCAACACAGGCTCGTCCAGTCGGATGTTGTACTATATATGAACACTCAGTCGATACAGGAAACAGTGCCCCAGTGCGCACTCCACCGTACCGTACGTCGTTCGAGGACAGGAAATGGCTGCAAGCCAAAACGGCAGAAATGGTCAGAGATGGAATAATAGAACCTACTAACTCAGCATGGGGAAGTCCAATATGTATCGTTAAAAAGAAAGATAAATCGAGGCGTCTTACCGTAGACTTCCGGAAGCTTAATGAACGATTGTTGGGAAGTTCTTATCCTTTACCACGGGTCGACGATATCCTAAATGCACTCGATAAAGCAACTGTGTTTTCAAAAATAGATCTTAAATCGGGATTTTGGCAGATAAAGATTAAGCCAGAAGACAGAGCAAAAACGACAATGGTGGGAGAAGAATTTACCTTCCAATACAGAGTACTTCCATTTGGGATGAAGGACGCGCCGTCCGCGTTCCAGCGTGCAATGGATTTAACACTGGCAAACATGAAATGGCGCAATGTGTTGGTGTTCATAGATGACATAATTGTTTTCTCCAAAAACCTGGCAGATCACATGCGGGATTTACGGGAATTATTCCTTCGGCTTCAGGAGTGTGGCTGGACCATAAGTCCTGAAAAAACAGAATTATTTGTTAATTCAATTACATTTTTGGGACATACGGTAGATCAACACGGTATAAGCACAGATCCAGAAAAGATTAAAGCGGTCCAGGAATTTGGCCCTATAAAAGACAAAAAAGATATTCTAAGATTCTTAGGAATGGTGGGATATTACCGCCAGTTCATTAAGAACTTTCAAGAGAAAGCGGATCCGTTACAACGCTTGATTCCTAAAAAAGTGGACTTTGAATGGGGACCAGAACAAGCGGATGCGGTGCAGGAACTTAAAGACGCACTTACCTCGGCACCAGTGTTGGCCCGGTACGACCCAGAGGCAAGGTCGAGAGTTGTCGTTGATGCAAGTACGATTGCGGTGGGAGCAGTCCTTATGCAGTGCCCGAAAGGAAAGGAACAGGAAGGCTCGGTAAATTGGAAACCTGTAGCATTTTTGAGCAGAAAATTAACGGAAACGCAGAAGAAAATTTATTTCCCTACTGAGTTGGAGGCGTACGCCTTAATTTGTGCATTAAAGAAATGGCGACATTACCTTTCGGACTACGAATTTGAAGTCCAAACGGACCATCAAGCGCTTGTATTCCTTCACAATATGAGAGACGCGGCAGGTCGTCTTGGAAGATGGGCGTTATATGTGCAACAATTCAACACTAAGCCGGTGCACATACCTGGAAAAGAGAACGTAATCGCAGACGCATTGAGCCGTAATCCCGGAGACCAGCCAGAGCCAGAGTCAGACGACTCGGATATTGAATTTGACTACCGGCAAACGAATCCGATGATTGGTGATGCAGCCATGGTCCAATATTGCCAGGAAGTACGAGAACGCGAGTACCCGGAATTATATATGAATATGATGGAGATGGCCAAGGAGCTGAAGGTGATCGATGAGAAAAGACGAAGAGGCATTTGACGCGGATAAAATGCAGAAACTAGTCCAAGATGAAAAGGCGGCCTTCTGGGCGGAAGAACAGTCAAAGGACGCTCGTATCCTGCGTTGGAAATTATTGTTAGAGCATAAAAATGAAAAGAAATCGGAGCATGAAAAGATACATCTGCCCAAGTTCACTGTACGGCAGGGAGTTGTCTACTACAAATTTGAATTGAATCGGAAGATTTTTTACTGCATGTACGTGCCGATACATCGGAGGTTGGAATTCTTGAGGGAGAATCATGACTCTCCGCTTGCAGCACATTTGGGCGTTTTGGCAACCTATAAAAGAATGTATAAGTACTTTTATTGGCCTAAAATGCTTGACTCAGTTAGGGCTTACTGCGCCTCGTGCCCGGCCTGTCTGGCACAGAACAACCCGGCAACGGCACCGGCGGGATCCCTGCAAACAAATCCTACTGTACCTCCGAGGATGGTCTGGGCAATCGATGTAGCTCCAGCGCTTCCTCCAACCGAATCTGGAAAAAGGCACATAATTATTGCAGTAGATTACGAGTAAATATG